GGTCATTGAAGCAGTATGAAAGTTTGATCGGATGTCTGCTCAATTTACTCGTAGTTTTTAGACCCAACATCGCTCATGTTGTGTCTAGACTATCTCACTTCAGTGATCATTCCAATTCAGAATACTTTAAAGCTGATGAGCACGATTTACGATATTTGTCCCTTGTAATTTCATAATTCAATTTAAATTAGTTTCTTTCATAAATATGAAGTTTCAGGCTGCCGCAGAGGCAGCTATTCAGTTCTGCGCCATAATTGAGATTAATTTAGTTTCCATAAAAAAGAAATTGTTTGCGATATTTCATACTTACTTACGTAAGTTTCAACAGGAACGTGACTAGAAGCGAGTGATAGCTGCGGTCACCCTTTATCTAGGGAATGCCTTCTTCTCTATGCATTTTATACATTTTACTATATCGATATTTTGTAGTTGTTGGAGGTGTGTGATCCGGGTTTACATTACTTTAATCATTATATAACAATAATTAATGCTGTTTCCTATAAAAGTCGTTTTCTCAAACTAATAGGTTAAGATACTTAGATTTTTTTGGCCGTAGAGCAGTTGCCTATATTTTCATGAACCACAATATTCTCAGGCCATTCATTAAATCGATTTTTTCGTTAAATCAAGTACCGAGTTACCGTGACATTATTTGAAGACAAAGAGCGTCCCGGTGGAGCTATGAGATGCTGAAGACAGGCAAAGCTATTGATGTGAAGTATTGTTGACTATATTGATTGTGACACATGAGAGCGCATAGCCCCACTTGACTTCCCAGTAATGTAAAAAACTGTTCAAAAACGGTGAAATGGGAGGCCTTACCCCAAGTGTCGTATTTTCCAGACCTTTTTCCTACCAGCTATTGAATTTTTTGGCTTAAAACGAACGATTTTGGAGTCCTTTGTAGAAATCGAAGAATGACTCAGTGATTGGATCGAGAACAAAGAGTACTAATTTTCTAGAGCTGGTATTCGAAAACTGCAGGAGCCCCATACCCCAAGTCGCTTTCGACTGTTTTTAATTATTTTTTACAATTTTTTATCAATAAAAACATTTATTTGAACACAAGCGAACGGACTGAACCAAATTGTACAAATATAATACTTTTCCGAACGTTTTAGTTAATTAAAAAATTTATTATATCTTGACCCTTTTTTTTGAATGATTTATTCATTTATTTATCATAAAGCCATCAGCTTTTTCTCGGATATTTACAAAACTTATGATACGATCCGGAACACACGGACATAACCGTCTAATTTTAAATGTTTTTTTTTTTTGAGTTGATTGAGTTGAGAATGATATTAGGTCTACCGGGAAGTTAGGTTTGGTACAGTTTCTGATAGAGCATGTAGAAGGTGGTACGAAAAATTTTAAACAGGTGATTTCGTCGTCTCTTATATGCCAACATCGGAGCTCGCGGTAAGGCATAATTGAACTCAACAAACCATTTCTGATAATATTCGGATGCAAGTATTTTGATTTATTCCAAATACGGACAGAACTTTCCGGTAGACCTAATATGTACATATGTAAATTATGTGTAATATATTTTGTTCGTGTTTGGTTGAACTGAGTACTGATGACTGATCATCTTCTCGATTATTTAAGGCACTCAATGTGAGAAATTGTCTTATGCGTTATATGTATGTGGTTTTCGTGGAATCGAATGTTCGTAAAATCGAGTTCATTCCGATAAATTGGAGTCTGTTTAAATGAAAATTTTACTTTTTTCATTTAGATATTTCCGAAGGAAATCTACGTGAAGAAATTTTAAGCGTCTTGTTCGTAATGAAACTTCTTATCGAACCAATTTGCAGTTCATGGCTCTTGTCTGTGGTAAACTTTAGTGTTCCAACTCGTGGATCTAGACAGCTTAGGCCTTTACTATAAAAATCATGTGAAACAAAATATCAATTGAATGAACCCTCCCGCCGAGTGTGGCACAATTTTGATTTGCATTCCAGCATTTTCAAGCTCTCAGACTAAGTTTTTGACATTAAAAAAACTATTTTTACTTCTCTCAACAATTAAATTTGAAAATTCTTTAATTACGAAACTTCAGCTTTAAAATAATTTTTTTTTTAAGTTTTTAATCTCGACATTTAACAAACGTTTCCCAATCATGACACGGCGTATTCCGTACATTATGCAGATGTGGTCTCTCGTGTCGCTTGGAAGAGAGTTGGAGAGTATTCGTTGGGTTTATTATGTACGTGGATACATGATACTTTCATTATCCACTCCAACAAGGCAACTGAATACTTCCTTAAAATTTTTTAAATAATCATACTTCACGTCGCCTGTTATGCCTACATTCTCAGTTAGGAAAATCAAAAAATAGTGATTGAGTTTGTGAATACTTTTTAGTACGGACATTTATTTATTCTTGAGGGTCCCGTAGCTGCTGTTCTTGGTGATTTGACGGATTCACACAACAGTAAACGGGGCCTCAGATAGGTCATCCAAAGTTCCAATGAGCATAATATGGGGGCTTATGTATCTAGAACATAACTGTTTCAGTATTACTTAGATCTCGCAAGACAGCTCGAACACTTTGTTTGCTATGTTTGTGTTTGAATTTGGTTGCCGCTCTTCGAATCTTCCTTAACACCTGTCGGTTTTAAGTAGCGTCTAGTGGTTCTATACCATAATGCTAAATAATACGGCCTTACGATGGAGAGCTGTTGGCATCATTATTAAACTATAAATAATAAATTTCAAGAACGAAATAACATCTCGCTTCAAGCCTCTCTCCTTACCTTTAAGCTTAAGTAATGAATTTATTATTTATTTTCATTTTAAAACTCGTAAAGTTAATGTTTTTTCACTGGTAACTCATTTCTTTTAAAAACAATGATTTCTCACGCATTCACCTGTACACAATGTCAAGTCAACTCTTATTAATAGCCGTCAAGCACCGTTTCCTTGTACACTCTTGTAGTCTCTTGATGTTTAAGCCGCTCTTCATGCATAGCTTATATGCTCTTTATTTTCATTGCAACAACAACAGTGCTATCCTGATTTTACTTCTGAGCACAATTTTTCTATTTTCCACCTCTGTCTGAACTTAAATTTTTATTACACGAGTACTTTTACCACTTCACATCCGTAGATACATATCTCATATGCATGAGTAAATTTCTCTGGGACGAGTGTAATGTGTAATGTGTATGTATGTGTGTAGTCTACTTGAGGTTCGTTAATAGTGGAAGCAATGACGTACGACAGACAAGTGCTTTGGCAAGTAGAGCAAGTGTGGTAAGAAGCAGCGGTGGTGCAGGCAGGTGTTGCAAATGAATACCAGCCGCTGGTGGCAAGTATGTATACTCCGTAGCTGAATGTGTTTGGTAAGCAATCAAACGCCACGTAATTGCAGGTCAATGGGGATATAACAAATTTTTTATGATTTTGACCTCGTCAATATAAATTTTTTTCTTTCTCTCATTTTTCCTTTTTATTCTTCGAACTCAGATAAATCTTGACAATGAATGTTTGAGTGTGAGGATCGGGAGGAATAGTGTGCCAGTGCAACAAATTCAAAGACGTTAAGGAGTCACATCAATTTTTAATTGCACTTAAAATAATTTTATTATCGCCATCTTTTTTAATCCTTCTCGTAATTGCTTTTTTACAAGCAAACTACAAATTTAATTAACATTTATATAAGGGTGTATGTTAAAGTTCGCATTTCTTGCGTAACGGTTTGTAAGATTTACACATTTTTTGGATGTTGTGAAGCACCCTATCGGACCGTAACACAGAAATTGTTGGGGGAAACAAATCTTTTCGGAAAAAGTTAGTGATGTGAAGAATGAAACATGTGCAAGTCGCTCAAGAGCGTCTAAAAATATTGTTGACCAAAGTGTTGAAGAAAACTCAGATTAGTCAATTCCTCGTCATTCATTGGAATTGAACATTCCACAAACGTCATTACATCGTATTTTGCATAAAGACTTGGGTATTTAGTTCAGTTAGCACAAAAACTCAAGCCGAGCGTTCACGAACGTTGTGTCTTTGTTGATTTGTTGCTTGAACTGCATGAAATTTATCCGAAATTTCGTCGCAAAATCAGCTGGACAGAATGGCTCATTTCCACCTCGCATCGAGGGCTCACAAAACCCAAGATTCACCATTGAATAGCCTTTCCATCCTCAATGTGTAACTGTTTGGTGCGGTTTATGTTCGGTGGGTTCATCGGATGTTCTTTTTTCGAAAATGAAACTGGACAACAGTTACGGTGAGCGGATTGTGCTATCGAGAGTTGATTAATGATATATTATTATAGCAGGAAATGGATGGTATTTATCTGAGCAAGGTTGACCTTCAACAAGGTGGCGCTACGAGCTACACAAGCAATGAAATCAGCGATCTTTTAAACGAAAAGTTTCCGAGACGTGTTATCTCTTAAAGAGAGATCTTACGACTTAACAACTTGTGACTGCTTTCTTTGAGAGCACGTAAAAGAGAATGTCTACGACAACAGGCCAAAGTCAATTAAAGATCTCAAAGAGGAAATTCGTGAAGCTATAGAGGGCATACAGCAGCCACTTTGTGTTTCAAGATGGAATATTTCATAAAAAGCTTGCGGTGCTGTAAACGTCGCTGTGGCCGTCATTTGGCTGATATTGTTTGCCATTATTTTTCCATTATTATTTACATATTTTCCTCTTTACATTACGGTAAACATTCGATCATTTATTTAAATTAAATTTATTTTTCTCTGAATATCAAAGTAATACTTCCTATACAGATAAATATCTTCAGAGAGATATTTAAACAAAATTAGCTTAAATTATTTAATGATAAAAGTTATTTTTCTTTGAAAAAAAAAAAAAATATCAAAATATTTTCAGCTAAAATAACTCTTTATTGCGTTGTCGCCGAGAGTATAACTTTCAAACCACTCAAATGTTTATACATATATACAAATAAAAAATTTATGTGGTTGTGCGCATTTAACAGTTATTGTGTGTGCTCTCCTCTTTAACTCCTTCCAGCTAAACGCCCACCTGTTGAGGAGACCGCCTCATTCCTGCAAAGTTTAATCGCCTCGCATGGCCCCAATTACTTAGAAAAGTTATTCGGCAGCAAAGCTCGTGACGCCTTAGCACCGTTGGGCGGCGTAGAGAAGGTTGCTATAGCCTTGAGCGAATCACAGACGATTGAAGACTTCGGCGCCGCATTACATTTGATGAGGTGAGTAATTGAGCGACAGCGAATGTAGACTGACTTATGTCATGCTACAAATTACTTATATACTAAATATACTCTATGCATAAAGGCTTTATTATATTTATGTTGCTTTATGTAACCACAAAAAAGTTTAATGCTTAGGTTTCCCTATTTTCACGTGGTTGATTTTTTTTTTGGTTTTTGTTTTTTTTTTTTGTTCAGCAGCCGTGGCGTCTGATATCGAAATATTTATGTATTTTTAATACAAAAAAAAAAAAAAAAAAAAAAAAAAAAAAAAAAAAATGAAACCTTGCGAACCAAATGGTAAATTATCCAAAAAAGCCAGTATTATTATTATTCTTATTATGGAAAATTTATTCAAACGCGATACTGCTGCCTTTAGTTGCCCGCAAGCAAGGCGACGCGCCGTTCATTATCTGCAGATGTAGATGTGTACGAATTTATTTTTATTTTTTTATTACCCTACGGTTTGTGCAAAAATAACCTAAAAAATTATAATTTGATTTTGTGTGTTTATAAATGTGACCGTGACCTGCAGACAAAATGATTTCTTTTTCTTATTCTCCGGCTGATAATAAATTTTAGATTGGCATTTTCATTTGGTTTGTATACCAATGGACATATGTACATTCATACATATTTATGTGCATTTTCAAGTTCAGATAAACACATTTATTTTAGATAATGCCCAGCGGTCATGTAATAATGACATATTTAATATTGTCTGCAATAAAAAATTTTCAAATTATGGCAAAACCAATGAAGTTGCGCACACATTAACAAATAAATACTTTTAACAAATAAAACAAAAAAAAACTTACCAATTATGTTTGTTTCAGTTTCAAAAAACTGCTCAAACTTGAAAAAATAGTAATTTTATAATTGCATATTAATATGTCTCCGAACTGCTGCAGAAATTATAATCGTTTTTTTTTTTTTTCAAAAAACTTTTTTTTCAATGCCATTTGTATAAACAAGAAATTAAATTGTAAATAAATAAAAATAATAAATACAAATTATATAACAAAAGCTTTTTTATGCGAAATATTTTATGTTTTTTTATGCAAATATTTGAACATTGCAAATCATTGTTTTCATTTGAGCTAACATTAATAATATTTCCTGATAATTATTTCGTAGTCAGAATTTTTTTTTTAAATAAATGCGATAGTTAGTTATATGTATGTTTGGATTTATTATTTTTATTTCCGGCTGAATTGTGTGCACAGTGTACAAAAGTATTTTTTTTTTTCAATAAATAGAAACAGCTGGGGACATATATACGAGGGGATTAACAAAAGTTCGGCCAGTTGCTGACTTTCAATTTGTTTTTGTTAAATCTAAAAATACCAAATCCTTTGCAATCACTTTATTAGTCTTCCATTCAAATTTTAGAACGATCGACTAAAATGGTGACGGTAAAACGCAAGATGGCTGAGGCTAGATCAGACGAAATTTTATCAGCAACGCAAACGGAAATTCGGGTTTGGGTATAATTTACAGCCAATACAAATATTCAGCGAATGCATATGGAACGATTGCACCATCATTAAAGACTATTTCTAAATGGTTCCGAAGATTCCAGATCGAACATTTTTCCATAGAGGAAAAGCCCTCAGAAAATCGACTAAAAGCTGCCACTGATGACATCACTGTAGCTCTGGTGAAGTCAAAATTTTATACAAGTGCTGATTGCTAATGATTTGGGCTGGAATGCCACGATTGTGTAGCGAACATTAAGTAATCATCTGGAATGCACGAAGAAATCTGCTCGATGGGTAACACGAATTTTAAATAAGACCCACAACAAGGCTCGAGTGCATTTTGCTCAATTTTCCCTAAACTAATTCGAAATGGTCACTTTAGTAAAGTCGTCCTGGTGACGAGTCCTGGTTCTATAAATGCAGTCCATGTAAGCCGAAGATAAAAAGGACACAGATTGCGAATAAATATAAATTTTTTTTTTCTGAACTACTTACCGAACTCTTGTTAATCTCCTCATACATATATCACTGGACTATGTGGAGTCAGCGGGCGCAATAGTCGAGTTATTAGCATTGTGCACTGACATTCTGAAGGTCTGAGTCCGTATCCTGATTTGATCGAACATCTAAAATAATAGGAAACTAATTTTTCAATAATGTCCGTCGCCCCCTGGTAGAAGATATCAAACCTTCTAAGAATACTTTTGCCGTGAAATGAAAACCTTTTCATAATAATCCATCGGCCATTCAGAAGCGTCATAAAATACTATCTAAGTTCCTCCTCGGCCGAATGATTGACGGATCAACTGGCAGATGAATTCATTGCCTAAACCACAGATCGTTGAGACTCTGAAAGAGGATGGACTCTGCGTATGACTTAAGCAGCCGATAAGAAAGGATTTTCTGGAAAGTGAACCTGGAACTAAGAAATATTCAAAAAAATAAACTTTATTTTAAAAGCGTTTGATTTATGACATTTGGTACACCGTCAACTTTTTGCCTAAATAGACATGGGGAACACTTTTTCTTTCGGGAAGTGCACCCTAGACCAATCTATTAAAAAAACTTATTTATCGTCTGATTTATAAACATAAATTTGGTATGGTTGTAGCTTTTAGCCTGAGCTGCCCTCGGGAAAAACGTAGTGGTCCCGGGCACAAATTACAATTGGTAAAACTATTTTCCCAGAAATGGACCTGGGATAGATGTAGGTACTGAACAAAGTCTAACCAATTTTTAAATCTTTTGATTTACATGGATTTTGGTGCAGAGTTGCAGCCTAAAATATCACTGGGGACACTTTTGCTCCCCAACAAGTGTGCAAAGAAACTGATGCAGCTAATTCTGCGCTGCCAGTTTTACGTATCTCTTTGGACACGAGACTATCTCCTTCATTCCTATCGTCGTTTCTTTTATAAAATTTGACCTTGCTCGCCAAATTCTCAAACTTTTCATAGGCAGAAATTATGTATCTTTGGTATTTGGCTACACATGCGTATTATTTCTTCTTCAACTCTCGGTATCTGTAACATCCGGTCGATTGAAATGTTGTCAGGTAGACAATCTATTGCTGCTATTGATCGTCTTCCCTTGAGCCGGAATCTTCTACTACAGAAAACCAAATAGCGATCACACACGAAAGCGATCAGCCTTAGAAGATTTTGAGATTATTCGTTGTGGAGGCTAAATTTTCCAAATTTCTTGTGTCTAAGATATCTTCTTCGACCAACCTGACGAAGAGCAGAATTTCGATATTGAGACGCGGACAGCGTTCAATCATGCGGTCGAGATACACATAAGTCTTTTTTATTTTAAAAATTAATTAAGAAACTCAATAATAATAATAAATATTTGATTATAAAGGGTTTTCCAACAAGAAGTATTATTCTGATGCTCAAATAAACTTTTCCTTTAAAAGATTGATGGTTTTGTAGCTCTTGGGGCACGACCGTCTTGTTGAAAGTGAACGTTTTCCCGATCAATATCATCCAATGCAGTTCATAAAAGGTCAACTGTTGCTCATGCCTCCTTTTCGGACCATAACGGTTACACGTTATGGATGGAGAAGCTTCTCAATCTCATAAAGCATAGGTTTTTCGAGTTCCAGATGCGACAGTTTTGCTTATTGACATAGGCAATAAGGTGAAAATGGGCCTCATCAGTTAAGATGATTTTCCGATTAAATTTTTATAATAAATTTTTATAACTTCAATGCGTTGTTGAATCGCGTATCGTGCGATTTTTATTACTGCCGTAGCTTTTACTTGTCTATAGGCCAATTCTCACTGTTAGCGGTAAAGTAAAATTTTGTTACCTTTTTTAACATCCGCAATTGAATTTGGTATTCTGGCGAACTGGTTACAATGTTTGAAAAAATTTTGGCAATACTGCTTTTGTCGTCCTTGTCAAACTACATTTGTCAGTAGGTAAAGTGAAAACCAAGAATATTCACATCGGAATGGAAGACGGAGAACAACGAACTAAATAACTTTTATTTATTTGTTTATTTAATCATTAATATTTGAATCTAATTTTGGAAAACACGCCTAAGCGACAAGAAGAAGCTGAATGAAAACGTTATCTTACAAATTAAAAGGGACATTTTTTTCTCCCGAACTTCTTGGCATACGTTTTTTTTAACTTTGTTCTTATCATCATTGAATTTCTGGCCTAAAATATTTCTACCCATTTTGGTTTTTATTTTTTCTCAAACTAACAACACAAAATCAAACAGTAAATTTTTTATTACCTCCCATTTCGCTGGTAACAAAATTTACAAGGTGACAGTGAACTCAGAATACGAAATAGTAACAAAATTTTATGAATCGTAAATTTTACCCACCCAAGTAAATTTTGTTACTTCAGCAGAATAGGCCTGCTAATGTCAAAAAAATTACAGCTTCAAAGGTGACATCTACCGGATAAGCAGACTTTTCAAAATAACACTCTTATTGGAAACCCCATTTTCACTTGATGTATGCTTTTACTCGAAATTGGCTTTCCTTACATTTTTGTTTTGTTTTTATTTTTTTTTGACTAACAAAGGAACAAGCTGTTTGCTTATTAATAAAAGTTTATAAAAAACAGTTTAATTTGGCAGTTAATTGATAAACAACAAATTTTTTTTCTAGCGGAGTTAATATTATTTTAGTTTTAGTTTTTAATTAAATACTGTGGTGTTTACTATGTAAATGAATATCGCTCATATTTGTTATTGCAATACAATTTTAATTAACCACAAATTACCGCTACCAGCTAAATGCAATAAATAAATAAATTTACATGAGAGAAAAAGCACTTTCCGTGAATAATTACACCGCCAACGGCGATTGCTGTATATTATTACATATATATTTATTCTACCAAGAACAATACTTGGTTATCAAAACTGACATACTTACAAGTACACACTCGCTTACATATATACATGAATAATGATGCTTTGACTACCCAGCAGGGTATGGTCAAACTATACAAATAACACCGTCTGACACGACGGGTTAGGGTCTCAAGAATTTT